CATGTCTAAAACCTATGCAAAAACATGCGTCACAAACAATTGATCATGACGACATCTGCAGCCAATATTCATCATACAAGTTTCTACAAGCTCTGCACCTGTACTGGTCTTCAGTCCGCTCCTCCAGAGGGGTTCACGCTCTTCTAGCTTCACAAACCCTCGAGGCCTAAACTTGCTCGGGCTGCTGGGCTTACTGGGAGTTTGCTCAACTCCAATTGGTCTTTTGCATTGCCCACATAAGTAGTCATTACCATCAGCGGACCTCCATCTGATGAATAAAAAAAACATTCAGCACCAATACTTTGTTTTTTGTGTGTAATTTGAAATATTTTAGGATCTCACTTACCTTCCATTCACAAAAGTTGCACGCCTTGTTTGGTGCATCTGCGTTATTTATTGGCCACAGCATTCAGGTGACATGTGATGTAGAGCTATGAGAAAAGCAGGTGTTGGGAAACATGCACACACAATCATGTTGAAGGCAATTAAATAGAGCCTCACCTCCCCTCTGTCCTCATTATAAAATCTGAAGGCATCAATGGACATGTGGAGCTTGTCATCCTGTGTCCTGGCTAAGAATTGAGACCTTGAGCCTGGAAGCTGAGAGTCAACAAAGCACCTATGAGGAAAAACAAAAAGAGCAACACTAAATTAGCACTCATTGACTACAATAACCAGAGTCTACATTACCCACAATGCACCACTAACATTTCTAGACATATAGGCAAGTTCTGTAAGTAGTTATTTAGAGTCAGAACTGCACAAATCTGACCTGTGCATTTGCCAATAGTGGTACAGAAAGGAAGAACTAGAATACCAAAGATTAAAAAGCAAACTGCAGCTAGCCTTACAGTAGCTAATGGCTAACTTGAAGACGCCACTAAAGGACTGATCTTTTATTAACCTGTCACTCGAGTCAGCATTGCTTGCGTCTGAATTAAACCACTTGAAGAGCCTTACACATTAAACAGCTCCCTCTAGGGTCAGAAAAGACTTTCCTTTTTGCCATTTAGCAATTTGCAGCCTTACCCATTTTCAATGAAGGCATGCCTGGGGCGAGAGTGCATGTCAGGGCTCAGTGTAGCCACGCAGCTGCTCACAAACACTCGGAGCCCCATGTGATGCCCAAGTCTGACCGAGGCCCCCGATGCTGATGGGCTCACCGAGATGAAACACATTAGAGCTTCTTTTGTACTGCCAGTCACCTGCACACGGACAGAAAAAAGTACTAAGTGCAAATAGAGACATGACAACTCATAACATGAAAAAATTACCAAAACCCACTTGTCATGATTCTCAAGTTAAACTCAAACATTTCCACTGCAGCCTGGGTCGACATGAAGGGGATCCAGGTAGGCATGAGTGAAGAACTGGACAAACTGTACTTCCTAAGAAACAGAAAACATGCATTTAAAAAAAGACCGACATCATTCAAAGATTTTTACAATGTGAGCTTTAAAAACTAAAACCTTTCGTAATGACATTCAAGTGGAATTACAGCCTCCTCCATTCGAACAACACCATATGGAGAAGCCTCAGGAGAGTATATGAGGAGGTTTGTGTAGATCAGAGAGTCCTCAGTTACCTGTGGAGAGTAGACGTGTTAAAACTAGAAGCTATAATGAATCATATTTGAAATTAAATATATTTAAAAGTTACCCAGTGTCTGGTGCCGCACTCCACAAGTCCAACACTGATACTGTACTCATCTGCTGAAGACGCTGTAGCTCTGCAGTACTGGTTGTTGTTCTCTACTCCAAGGCGTATCTCGTCTCCATCAACAGGAACTCCAACCGCAAACATGTCGGCTTTGATAACAATCTCCAAAGAGTCTGGATGACAGGTCACTCTGATGGTATTCACCTGCTGCGGTTCCTCAGCCGGAGACTTCTGCTGCTGCTGCCCGAGTTCTGACCTGCCTGTGTTCGCAAGGCTCTGGAATGAAGCATCGTGTGTGGGCGGGAAAGCAAAAGAGGAGCTTACACAGAGTCCTACAAGGAGGATAACCTGAAAATGAAAGGCCTCCATAAGTGAAACTGATGACAGGAAACTGGTCGGCTGCTCTCTGTCTTCCTGACTGACTCACAGTATGGTTCAGTGTGAGCGGTGGAGCTTTTTAAACTCTAGCCGATCATTATCCTCATCAGAGCAGCACACCTGCGTCCAATCAGACACCCATCAGCTTAATTGGCTGCACACCCTGAACTCAAGACATGAGGCTGATGGAGAGAGAGGGTGTTTTCACATGTTTAAAATGTGCATATATTTGTTTCATTGCTTGTTACTTTGGATTTTAAATAACATGTTAGTGTTGCAGTTCATGAAAACCATGCAGGAAGCATTTTGACATCCCCCTGGATCCTTAATTTGTACACACTATCACATTATTATTGTGGTCTATGGTGTCATTTTATTATGTTTTTAAACTATCATTCATGTTTTGTTGATCTGTACAGACCAGCGACGTGCAGTCAGTGGAGGCAGAGCCTCCCCTGTCATACTCCAATGTAACGGAAAAACAACTAAAGAAAAACGAAATAGTAATAATAATAAAATGTCTCCACTGATCTGTGTTGTAAGTGTGATTTATGTATGATTCTAATCGCTTTTTATAGTCAAAATCAGCAAATTTTCCGAGCTCCGCTACGGGAGCGATGACAAGTGAGGCAGGCACGTGCTCTGCCTCTCGTAAGCCCACAGTGGGTGTTTCTCAATCGCGAGTAAAGCTGCTTCAGAGCCACTATTTCAAGCATACTACGTCATCGAGTGCCGCCGAAGTACTGTTCCAATCTCCAGTATACTTGGAAATCTACCGAGCCCGGCGTACTCCGTTTGGAGAAATATCGAGTGTGCACATGAGTAGACTTCGCGGTCTTAAAATCCCCACAATGCTTTGCGCACGGACCAATTTCCCCACATCTGTGGCGGAAGATGTAAGGCGGGGCCTCTCATATGACGCACACCTGCACACTTGCTAGCGTGTTCCACTCTTTGTTTTCCGAATGTCAGGAAGTATTCTTGACTCGCTTCTGAAGCAAGATGCTCGGCAGACATGTGCTACCAAGCAAGCGTACTCGCGATTGAGAAACACCCACAAACTTGCTGGAGCACGGGCACTAATTTAGCGCGGGCACTTATTTTGTGAGCGCGCTCAAGCCAGTTACTGTGGGGTGAGGTGAGGCACAGATGAGATCTGCCTCACCTCAGAATGCGTCACCCCACAGAAACTGGCTGGAAAGCGGGCGCTAAGCACATGCCTGTTACCATCTCACTGTAGGTCACCAATGTAATATATGTAGATCCGTTTATTACATTTATCCTCGCCATCCATAGTCTCTAAATAACTTATTTCACGTATATATGATATTTAGGCTCGCTGGTCTCAACGGCAATGAAAATGCACCAGGGGAGGCAGCCATAACCTCTGCCGCACTGAAGGGGGCGCACGTGAGCCCACAGGTTCTTGTTGCTACTGTAATTCTACGCAGAGACGGTAGACGTAACAACAAACTAGACTTTTGAAACTACAGGAAGATAAGGAGGACTTTTACAAAAAGTAATAGAGATTGTTGTCCAGAAGGATAGCATGGACTTCATCTTCAAGTCAAGGTAAGACCACATTTGTAATGAAAATGGGATCTTACTAAGAAAGAACAATCCAATATTTAGATTTTGGGTATCCTTTTGTTGAACGGTCTGTTTAAAATGAATCGAAGCATCAGACTAAAAAAGCTTTTGAAAATAACAGAATATTTCGATTAAGGTCAAAATATAATATTTGTAAATCTGACTCAGTGAGTCAGTGCCTCACCAGCCATGAACCTCACCGCACGTCACTGGTACAGACTAAATCAAATCAAATCAAATAAAAATGTAAAACTTGTGATTTTGAGCTACATAAATACAATTTGATCTATATTTTTGAAACATAAGACATGTCATGTAAAAATCAATCCATGCAGTTCAAACAAAGAAAATATTGAAAAAACCTCCAAATACTTAAAATCATCCCAACTAATTTAAAATGACTTACAGCATATAAAGTTCAAAACTATATTCTTAATTATCCATTTCAGAGGTTCACCCTGTACTGTTGCCTAAATATTTTATGTTATTTTAGATTGATCCATTTTGTTTTTCCGTTCATACTTTTTAGTTTTTTTTGGGCCAGAGGGCCGTTATTGGAGATGTTAGAGTTGAAAGGGGGAGACAGAGGGGAGGACATGCTAGAAATGTTCGGCTGGTTCAGGATTCAAACTGGTTTACTAGGCAGCGGTGACTGCATATGGGCTGCCGGCTCTAACCACTGACATATCGGGCGAACCCATTCTTATCAAGGGTTATTGACCCTTTCACTCTTTCCTATTATTATCTCCTTTATATTTGGACACATTGTATTGTCTTGTATGTGAATAGCACTTTTTTAAAAATAAAAATATATATTTATTATTTATGAGAGCTTCTGAATCGGACTGTGCCGGCGTACATGCTTACAGGACAATAACTAATATATCCACACCTTTGCTGCTGATGACTCTCCTCCTGACCTGCACTTTCACACTCATCTTGCAGACACCAGACATATCCGGTGATACATCATGAAAGTGATATATCTTCTTTTCTCACTTGATAATATCAATAACAGGATCGCTATAAGAAGACTTACTAGGATACTATAAAAAAGTGTTATATATAAAGTACTTCATGGGGAGCAATGTTTATATTGCTAAGAAATACTGAGAAAAACGTTTTGAGAAGGGTTTGTTTGTGTAACTGTACACATTAGTGGTGTTAATCTAGTAGATACAAGTTTTAAAGTCTGATGCATAACATCCTGAGTTTTATTTCAAATTCAGTTAAACATCAGTGTGTGCAAAACCAACTGCAGCATTTCAACGGCTGTTCTTGCTTTGATTTCCCCTTCCTGCTCAGAGGTGAAGAACAATAAATAAAGTGAGGCTGTCCACAAAACCTCACAAAGACTGAAGGAAAGAGTACAATGTGAGTCAGCTTTAGTATTTATTAGTGAGTTCATAAGTGAAAAGGCCATGAAGACGAGCTTGGCATGCATTCTTATTTTCATTCAGCTTTTTGAAGGTAAGAGAAATTCACATTTTATTTTCCTCTTTCAAACACTGATACATGTCTATCCTGACAGCAACATTTAATGTTCATACAGTGTAATCTGTTTTTATTTACGGGGATGTTTCATCAGACCAGTTGTGTGGCTTTGTTTAGAGCCATGTTAGGTATTAACAGTAAAGACTAAACATCATTGTTTCTTTAATGTTTATGTTGTATAAACATTCCTTACTAAACAATCATTAAAATAATCGTTTTGCTAGTATTAAGCTATAAGTATTACGCTGAAGTTTGGTCAGGGAGGGTGAGATTGATAGACAAATATTGAATCCTTTATTGTCTGGATTGTTATGCTTCGCCTACTTGTATGGCAAAACCATCAAAGGGCCCAGAGTAACAGTTTCACGTGCCACCAAATCTGAAACATGAATAAAAATGAAAGAGAGAGACAAATCATATTTAGTTGGGACAGTTTTCACAGACAGATCACAGATTATGAAAGTTATACAACTGTAGGATTTACAGTTTACCTTCAGGGATCAGACTTCCGAGGTTGTTTGACCGGTGGGAGAGTTGCTGGAGCATGTATCGTCGCAACATCGACACACATCATCACTGCCATCGACATTTATCCATCTGATGATTAGTATACAGAAACAATCATTGTTTTCCTTTAGCTTTGAGTTGAGGGCATTTACACCCAAATCCAATGTTGAAATAATAGCCATTTATTTGTATACATATACTCCATGGGCAGCGTAAACATTCTAAAATATTCTTAAAGCTTACATTTAGCACATTCCTCTCACATGTGTACTGTTTCAGTTCAAATGCTGAGATAAGCATCGCTGTTACATTGATCTGGCTGTACAGAGACAGCATGGAACATTCATTTTAGAAAGTATTTATCCTTATATTTACATGTTTCCTTAATTAAGTAACTTGATTACTTAAGCAGCAAGAAATATTAATAGCAAACATTTGAACCAGTTTTAGCTTATAAAGAATTGTTAACCTGATGAGCCTTTGTAAATGATACACTGACAAACCTTTTGCAATATTAAAGTAAGGAGCAACAATTCACAAAATAAGTAATAAAAGCACCTTGAATTTATATAATTGCAGGCCTTGTTGACGGGGCTGCTCTTCCGCATTTCAGAGGTCGCTTTCAGCTGGCAAGTGATAAAAATCTATTAAATCCATTGATTGATTGATTGATTGAAAAGTTTATTAACAGCTTGTATATTGGGTACAGTACAGTACAGCTCAAAACATACAATTGTTAAGGGGATGCAGACCAGAGAAAGACTTTCGTCTTGTTTACATCAGGGTCCCCCATTTCCAATTCATCATATCATTTAAGACATATAAGACATATATGACATACAGATGGCTTATTTACAATTACATACAGGTGGTTTTTTACATACAGATGGATTATTTACAATTTTCATTTTAGATTTCGTTCTAATACATCCTAACCGGACATTTAAGACATACCAAGTCTACAGATATACAGTTAGTAACAGAGTCTAAAATGCGAGTATATACATAGATGGGGGGGGGGAAGCTGTCCATTGTACGACAGGTTGAGATTTGTACCATTACCGGGGCCAGTTTTGCAATGCTTTCCCCCGAAGGTGCTCTTTAAGAGAGGTTTTGAAGGTAAGTATAGTTTTACTTTCCTTTACAGTTGTGGGAAGAGCGTTCCACCTTGATGTGGCATAATTGCGAAACGTGTATTCCCTTTTTTTGTGCCAAATCTGGGTTTTTACATGATTTGTGGAGCTCCCTCTGGTGTTATGATCATGGTATTCCTTGACCTTTGGGAAGAATTTTGACATGTACATGGGTACCATAGAGGTGTAGTGGATCTTGTAGACCAGGCCCATTGCAAGTAGCTGTACTCTGTCGTCTACTCTAAGCCATCCTAGGTTGTCAAAGTGGGCAGAGGTGAGGTGGGTTCTAGATGAAAGGTCAAGCAGTAGTCTGACCAGTTTATTTTGCGATGTTTGAAGTTTTGTTTTTAGCGCCTTGGAGGTGCTATGGTACCATGACGTGCAAGCATAGTCATAGTACCCTTGAATGAGTGCTCCTGCCAGAGTTTTCAGGGTGTTTTTGTTTACCAGAGAGGAGATCCGGTATAGGAATCTAGTTCTTTGATTGACTTTTTTTATTACATTGGATGCCATTTTGTCACAGGAGAGGTTTGCCTCAAGAATAGATCCTAGGTATGTAATTTCCTTCTTACTTGTGACAATAATGTCACCCACTGCAACTGAGAAGTCGTCGGATTTGCTGAGATTATGTTTCGAACCGAAGAGAATGGACTCTGTTTTACCCAGGTGTAATGATAATTTATTATCGGCGAGCCAGGTGCAGATTCTGCCGAGCTCGGAGCTGAGGGTTTTTTCAACCTGCAATCTGCTCCTGTCAGAGACCAGCAGGGCTGAGTCGTCCGCGAACAGGAACAAGTTGCAGTCACATGATGATGACATGTCATTTGCATAAATTAGGAACAGTAACGGACCTAATATGCTTCCTTGTGGAACACCACAGCTCACTCAAATGCTGCTGTCGTTGAAGAAGCAGCGACTCACTGCTGCTGCTGAAGATATATTTGCTTTGTTTGAAAAAACGATAGCAGAGTACGAGGAGGAGCTGTCTCTTTCCAAAGAGGAGAACAAGAGACTCCAAAAACTACTGGACGCTGTTTAAGAGAGACCAAAGAAATGTCATTATACAACCTCGAAGCATTTCCAAACATGACAAAATCATTCAGGTTATAGAAGTGGCTCACTGAGTTCCTTGTGTCCTGGGGAAACAGGAAGGCATCGAGCTGCAGCTGAAGAGAAGAAGATCTTGTTCTGGGATTGAAAAGTGCATTTGATCCTTCCTCTTTGGCATCATTGAAGCACCTGACGAAAAGAAAATTAAAATTTGAATGCAATTTAAGAGCCAATTATCAGTATCATACTGTATTCTGAGCTTCTCTTACCCATGGTTTTCGATAAAGTAGTATCTGGGGGCTGATCTCGGGTCAGGAGACAGAGCGGCGACACAGCCGTCGATAAACAGGCGTCTATGTCTGTCTCTTGCCCCCCCCTCCCTGTGAGCCTAGTGTGCTCCGATTGGTCAGCTCGGCCACTCTGTTCTGATTAGTCAACCACCAGAGAGGCTCCACCCATGTCTAACAGCGCTTTTTTCGGCTCGCTCTCAGCGGAACAACAGTCTTATAATGGCCTCGGTACAGCCGTATATTTTATACACTAACTAACCGAACTGTACCTACAACTGTTGTTATAGAAGAGTAAGTTATTTTTACCTGTAATAAACTACTACTGTTTGATGAGAAATCAAATCATGGTTTGCTATATATGAATGATAAGTTATAGGAGCAAATAATTCAGGGAAGAAAGGATAGGCCTACTAAGTATTTCCATCAAACTTTATTTTTAGAAATGTACAAAATGAACATGCGTAAATATACATATATACACTGTATATCATCCATTCCTCCCCTTATAGGTGTTTTCGGCATCTTGCCTATCGCAGCTTTGTAAGCGGCTGCCGGGGCTTTTTAGGACGAGGCATCAGAGTGGGTCATCCCGTGTGTGTGTTGTCCGCCAGATACGCCTGGAGTTTCCTGATCTGGCTGGACGAAATCAAATGCAAATCACAAAATATTAGAGAAACTTAGTTGTTTTAGATTCGTTAGTAGTAGTTGTGGTAGGAGTGTGTATCTATCTATCTAATCAACACAGTTAGCTTGCCAGCTAATATGCTAACCTACGTTTGCTAGTTGTTCAGTGTAATATGCTATAGGCTACTATACTATACTATACTATACTATACTATGAACAACAGATAGTGGTTCATATTAGGCTATCAAGAACATGTTTACAATTGCAATCTTATACGGGTAGTCTGCTACATTCATTGTAGCTGGCATAACAACAATGTTTTCCCGAGCAAACTCATGTCTAGCTCCGTTGTTTAGCTCGGTAGCATACACGCTAGGAACGCCAGCTATAATGTAATTACGTTTCGCGACTGACCGTACGGTAAATCACCCGGAGTATACTGTCTATGAGTATTTCGTGTGTGAATGCAGACATTCTCCTGCTATGAGATACATGTATGCAAGGCCATCTGCTGATATTGGAGTTGATATATGGAAACGCTAGCAACTTAGTTAGCACTGTGTCAATGGCTTAGCAGTCCGAAACACGTTTACACATTTAAACAGTCGTGGTAGATACCTTGTTTGATAAATACACAAATAACAATGCAAACTTACAGGTTGTGTACCCGAATCTTCCCCTGCTCCAAACGGTCCAAACAAACTGGGAATAGCATCGTCCTTCAGTTTCAAATGCTGTGCATATCCGGCCTCAAACTGGGCAATGTTTTGGAAGCTTTCGTCTGTGAAATGCCGCGCACACAGTAACGTTCTTCGAACCTCTGAAGGAACAGTGTTAAACAGAAATTTCAACCACTGACTTCGTCGTGGTTCTTCCGTCGGTAGGACAAACAGCTCAGATTTCCCCTCACATTTCAGGAAACAGGTCCTTGGCATTGGCATGACTGGATCGATTGTGAACTGAACCAGAGCTTCCAACAGTAAATGTTAGGCTGACAGAGGGTGCGGCCAGCGCCGCTGGGTGTGGCCATAGCTCTTCCGGATTGGTCCATTTTGTTCCGGGTACCGCATGACATCATGTCGTACCCGGAAGAATCAAATGGACAATGACGTATCTCCAACGAGGCGTTTTGGGGAGGTATTTTCTGTGTTAGAGTTTTACTCGCTACAGGGTGTACTTTGAGGGTTTTGACTCTGCACACCGTTTACATGCATAAAAACCTTCATAACACACAAGGGGACGGGTAATAACCGGAAAAGCATGACACCTCTCCTTTAAGATATTCATTGCTATCGGGATGTTAAGAGCATTCCATGGAATATAACAAAAAGTGTATCTCGAGCCGGTTTCTCAAACTTACCTACCCTACCTTTAAAGCTGGGGTAGGTACGTTTTAGAAACCGGCTCGAGATACACTTTTTGTTATATTCCATGGAATGCTCTTAACATCCCGATAGCAATGAATATCTTAAGTGCTTTGACAAAAAATCCATAAAAAAAATGTAATCTGTGGAAGCCGTGGTGCTGTAAAAAGCACGACCAATCATTTTAGCCGGCCCAGCTAAAATAACTGGATGGCCTACCTGCCTGTCAGCCTTCCATCTGTGCACAAACTTATCTCGTGCCCTCATTGGTCATGTGCGCGTTCGTGTGTGTTGGAGGAGGGGCTCTGTAAGGAAGTGGCAGATTTTTTCCGGCTGTGTATTTTCAAATTCTAGCGCACTCGAGCTGGTTTCTCCAAAATTACCTACCCAACCTGCAACCACAGTTACATATCCACCATCTTCTATTAATCATCAACAACTTCCAGTCACTTTGGAGCCACAGTCTTGTAGTCCAGCTTCAAATACATATTCAGAGTCACCAGCAGCAACAGGTCGACACTGACTGCTCTGTGAATGCTTGACTTCTCCCAAAAAAAAATCCCATGGAGACAAAAGGCGTCCATTTTTAAAGAGGTCAGCCTTTACCGCAATGATTATGGACACTTCTGTGCATTGTACACTGATAGTGGATCCCTCATTGAATTGTGGTTCACTGATTTGATTTTCTGTGTCAAACCCTAATGCAGCAGTTTTATATTCCCTTCCTTCAGCATCGATCATTGGTCCATCTCTCAAAGTTCGAATGGCGTCTGCAAAACCAAAAGCAAAAAGTGTCAGCAGTGCCACAGAGCCTGGCCGAGCTGCCGTCACCATTGTGGCTCTTTAATCAGAACAAAACAGGAAAGCAAGGAAAGCAAAGTAAGCAAACACAACACTACCAGTAGAACAAGTGATAATTTAGGAAATCTAAACCATACTGAATTTAAATAAGATGCAGAAGGTTCAAACTCTCAATGTCAAATACTTCCCAGTGCAGACTAATCACATGGAGAGGACAGCTGGAAGCAATTACTCATTAACTGATGAGAATTAAAGCTGCAGTCACACCGAAATACCTGCATGTGATTGGCCCACACCTGACATGTGGGTTTACATCTAGTAGTTACACTGATGCTTCCTTCCTTATGCATCAATCAATGTTGAAATATTATATACTACAGTTAATGGAGAGCAATTTAAAATGCAGCCCCATTTTATTCAACATCATTCAGTTTATTTTGTGCATGTAGGTTTTAATGTGGTATACGAGTACGATTCAGTTCCAGTCCACTGTAAAGTGAAACAAAAGCTGACACATTTACAGCTTCACTGGTTTCTGGCTTTGAGTCCCAACAGGCACTTTGTTGCAGGGACCAAAAAACATCCCAGGAAGTTTCATCTTCCACATGGCCTTTTAGTCAAAAAAACAAATGTGTGATGTCATGGCTACCATTGCATTGAGCCAATATTTTAACCTGTTCCACCCTGAGCCTGTTTTTCAGGTCTCAGGCTTGAAAATGACATTCCCAGAACAAATGACCATATCTTCCCTTCTAAATTGGTTAAATTAATAATCTTTGTTCTCAAAGTAATGATAAACCTGTGAGTTGGATGTAGAAAAGTCAGAATCAATATACTGTAGATGTTTTTTATTTTAAAGAAAATTCCGATTGAACATATTAAAAAAACTGTAAATTATAGTGTCCGTCCAAAAATTATTTTGTACTTATAGTGAAAACTACCCTTGGATGATGGGTTAGTAGACTAAAAGCTTTAGGAATCCAGTACAACATATAATAAGTACCCTGTATCAATATTGATGCAAAACAAGTGCAATTTGACCTTTTTAGAGAGATTTAGCAAAAGAAACCCACTTCTGGGGTCATTTGGGTGGATTTTCCATATCTCTGGCCCCCCTTGGTCGATTTTGATGAATGAAATCTCTTTATAACCGCTAGAGCCAATGGAATTGAGGGAAAGTTCTACACACACCAACACATTAACAAATAAGGAGTGAGAGTGATGCATGACCAAAACCGGAAGCTGCATACACTCTGTTGGCTACTATTAGCAACTAACTTTTTTTCTCCGATTTTTACATAAAAATTGAATTATGGATTATAGAACATTTTTCAAGCTACAGATACATTATTAACCTATGGATCAACCGATTCAGCCGCTTTTTTTCTTGTTTTAATGCCATTGAACACGTCCTTTGATCAGATAGACAGCTACGGTGAGACGATCTCCCGTAAAGGTACGTTTTGTGATGTCTGTGTTTGCTTCCGCTGTCGCAAGTTCGGATCGCTCAGTGATGATACTATACCTATATAATCTGTGGAGTCTCATCTTTAATCGGATATTGTATGTGCAGTTACGATAAGTAATAAGGGTATCTTTATCTTGAGTTCTGTGCTAAGTGAGTTAGCATTTTTCTGCTTAGTATTACCCTTGTTTTGGTAAAAATGGTTCATATCTTCAGTTAGCTGAGATTCTTCCCGTTATTCTGGTGCTACACATTAATGGTTTCATTAATGTTAAGAAGCCCTGAGACACAGTCTCGAAAAAAAACGGTGGGGGGGGGGTCCACTGGGGGGGACCTTCGTCCTTAAGAGGTTAAAGTCTTGCTTCAGTTTTTTTTCCCAGATGGCTTGAAATAATGGCAACTGTAACCAAGGGTGTAACTTTGGTTTGAGAAGTGGGGGGGGACACAAAACAGGGGGTCCTCCACAATGAAACATTTTCTCAATTTAATTCCATTTCCTGCCTTTCTACAAATATATTAAGGACTATAGTGTTAACAAATCCAAGAAAAATGTGTAGTGTATATAATGAGTGTGCACACTTATCTAGTATCCTATCCATGTAAACCTGTTTTATTTGAGATGACCTTACCTCCTGTTGGGGGGTCCGGGGGCATGCACCCCCGGGAAGATTTTTGTCTTTAAATTGAAGCTAAAGCATCAATCTGGTGCACTTTGAGGGCCACATGAAGAGATGTATGGATACAGCTCTCAACAATCAAATGAAACAGAACTGTATATATTTCAATAATCAAAAAAACCATTATAATATGCTCACAAGCAATAACACATCATTGATAAACTCCTCTCTATATCTTTATTTTACCTAGTCTGCATTCTTTCTTTTTATTTATGCATATTTGACTAATCACTCCCCTTTCAAACTGTGTTTTTTATTTTTGTACTGACCTATAGTACACATTGGAAGGATTTCTTAACTTATTTTATATACAACTAATATTACATATGGAAATATTTGTTTACATAGATGACCAAACCGTTTGAGACCCACTGAGACTACAGTTTACAACCTAATCCCTCAGAGTCCTTTAGCTCACTGAGTTGACGTGATCTCTCTCAGTCCCCCAGGAGAGAATTACACCCATGTCTGTAACTATACTCATCTAAAGATTCATGTCACTTTTTTTAAATCAGTCCCCAAAAACAGGAGTGAATAGATTTGCTAAGCTAAAGTAACAACTCAGGACTTTGTAAACCATCAAATTGTACTTCTAAAACATATTGACTACCCTAGTAGAGGTCTGGGTACTCTATTAGAATTCAGTCTCCAGTCAAAAAAGGGGCTACTCCTGTACAAAGGCTTTGTTGCAGCAACTGAAGTTCAAATATAAACTGGCTGACCTCCAATAAATCACCTTTATACAGCTGTTGCAACTAAAGCAAATGACACCCCAGAAAATAAATGCCATGTTGTAGTACCATTTTTAGCAGCAGACAAGCACAAGAAAAGACATGGATGTCAAATTGCAATTTGGGTCCCCCCCTAAATGTTTACCGTTATATGGAATACTTTGGCTAATTAGGAAACAATTGTTAATGTTTTTAGCTGTGAGCAGGTCATCAGTTTCCCTTGTGTATTGCCAACATTAAAAGCAAACAAATTAAAATTTGAATAATTTATTATCTCTTTGAGTCCATTGTTTCAGAAAGGTCAGATTCTGTTGCAGTGGTGTTGGACAGTGGGGGCACAGCCACATTAACCGCAGCAGTTTGGAAGACTTCATCGAGCGCCGCTGTGTTGGTACTGTTCAGCACTACTGCCTTCAACTGCAGGTGGGCCTCAGGAGAGGTTTCTTCTAGAAGTTCAGGAATTTCCTCAGCATCTTCATCTGTAGTCGCAGAATAAATGTGTTCATTTAAAAGGTGCATTGTAGAGTGCCATTTAAAAAAAGGGTTAAGACTTTTCACATTTTACCTTTTTCTGTTCCACTTTTGTCTTCTTCGTCTTCATTCTGCTCAGAAGCTAAAGTCAGAAAGTCCACCTGGTTTTGGGTCGATGATGAATCAGGAAGCAGTCCTTTCCTCTGATCTTTGACAGAAAAACAATTCAACATTAAGATTTCATTATGGGCCATTTTAATCTCAATTTAGAGATTGTTAAAGGCTTCAAATGAACAAAGAATAATTCAATACCGGTATTGACTTACCAACTCCGTTTATTCCACTCCACTGGCTGCCCTACATTGTAGATCTGCCGATTTGATCAAGAATGGAAGAACGCTCCTCTGCAGGTATGGGCCGGCTTTTCTGCTTGGTTGGCAAGACCATCATCGGACCCACTCTGGCCTGATGTTCCCACACTAACACAAACCAGCACAATGCATGTTATTTCAGTTACCCAGCCATCATCATGTCTAAAACCTATGCAAAAACATGAGTCACAAACAATTAATCATATGACGACATCTGCAGCCAATATTCATCATACAAGTTTCTACAGGCTCCCCACCTGGACTGGTCTTCAGTCCGCTCCTCCAGAGGGGTTCACGCTCTTCTGGCTTCACAAACCCTCGAGGCCTAAACTTGCTCGGGCTGCTGGGCTTACTGGGAGTTTGCTCAACTCCAATTGGTCTTTTGCATTGCCCTACATAAGTAGTCATTACCATCAGCGGACCTCCATCTGATGAATACAAAAAAACATTCAGCATCAATACTTTGTTTTTTGTGTGTAATTTGAAATATTTTAGGGATCTCACTTACCTTCCATTCACAAAAGTGCACGCCTTGTTTGGTGCATCTGCGTTATTTATTGCCACAGCATTCAGGTGACATGTGATGTAGAGCTATGAGAAAAGCAGGTGTTGGGAAACATGCACACACAATCATGTTTAAGGCAATTGAATAGAGCCTCACCTCCCCTCTGTCCTCATTATAAAATCTGAAGGCATCAATGGACATGTGGAGCTTGTCATCCTGTGTCCTGGCTAAGAATTGAGACCTTGAGCCTGGAAGCTGAGAGTCAACAAAGCACCTATGAGGAAAAACAAAAAGAGCAACACTAAATTAGCACTCATTGACTACTATAACCAGAGTCTACATTACCCACAATGCAACACTAACATTTCTAGTCATATAGGAAAGTTCTGAAAGTAGTTATTTAGAGTCAGAACTGCACAAATCTGACCTGTGCATTTGCCTATAGTGGTACAGAAAGGAAGAACTAGAATACCAAAGATTAAAAGCAAACTGCAGCTAGCCTTAGCTAATGGCTAACTTGAAGACGCCACTAAAGGACTGATCTTTTATTAACCGGTCACTCGAGTCAGCATTGCTTGCGTCTGATAATTAAACCACTTGAAGAGCCTTACACATTAAACAGCTCCCTCTAGGGTCAGAAAAAGACTTTACTTTTTGCCATTAGCAATTTGCAGCCTTACCCATTGTTCAATTAAGGCATGCCTGGGGCTGGAGTGTCATGTCAGGGTCAGTGTAGCCACGCAGCTGCTCACAAACACTCGAGCCCCATGTGATGCCCAAGTCTGACCGAAGGCCTCGATTGCTGATGGGCTCACGAGATGAAACACATTAGAGCTTCTTTTGTACTGCCAGTCACCTGCACACGGACAGAAAAAATACTAAGTTGCAAATAGAGACATGACAACTCATAACATGA